AAAAAAAAAAAAAAAAAAAAAAAAGGGGGGGGGGGGTTAGAAATCTCTGCATCTATTAATAATAACATCTTTGCTTAGTTACCTGGATGCGAGTTTGACTCACCACAGGGAACTAGGTAAGTGACAGCTGGCATTTAGATATTTGTTTCAACTTCTGGATGGAGAGAAGCCACAAAAAACATGATCATGCATGCACAGCTACAAGAATGAACATAAAATGATGCCACTGCTTCATTTCCTCCCCACCATGTATATTCTCCTGACTCTGTTTGAGTGGTCATCATTCTATAACAAACTGAACTGCAGGCTTAGGCAATAGGGGTCTGTGAATCTTCCAAGATCCACTTTGGATTTACAATATGGTAAATCAAGTAGACTTAAATAACTGATTCCAGGAGTTGTGATGATTCAGTAAAAAGGCTATGGGTGAAGAGTTCATCGAATCTCTGAATTGATTCAAAGATGCCAAGTCTGGTGCATCAAGACCAACGTGAGAATTTGATTCAAAAGAATAGTACCATGTTTCTCTTCTGCTAGCCAACTATCAGCTCCCTGTGACTGCATTTAAATTCCATGCAGCCCTTTGGCACAACACACACAACTGTTTTGCATCCATCCTCTTTGCCTGCTGCAAGGGATCCCAGAATTAATCCATCTTTAAATATTACATAGAACGAATTTGACTGAGCAATATTTGTTCACGCCTTGGTAGCTAATGTGGGATAGGGGACAGAGAGGGTCCCAAGAGTTATACCATAGTGCTTGGGTCTCATGTGGCATTTGGCTGCTATGTGTTAAAAATGGATCAAGCTGGAAGGGAAGGTTTTGAATTCTCCACATTGTCATGCCATTGCTCAATGACACGCAATCATTGTGTTCCAGAGACCTTGTTCAATGTATCCTTTTACTTCTCCCACCAGAGCTGCAGCAAGAATGGCCCGGGGACATAGAGCTGGGTTTGGGCAAGAGGGAGGGAGAATTGGTCTAAAACTGGATGGATCAAATTTATTTTGTTTCATCCTGTTTGCAAACTTTACAAGTTAAAAGCTGAAACCCACAATTTAATTGAATAGTTTAGGATTATATTTCAGTCTGGTGCAAATGAAAAGCTTTGATAATCAGGTTATTTTTTCATAAAGAAAACCAGAAAGTAAAAACAACATGGATGTTTTTCTTTAAAATAGATAGGGGGAATTTAGGAAGGTGAGTGGTCGTAGCGTCCAAGATTCTCAGGAACTTTTAAAGGTAACTGGGTCATATAGAAAATGCCTCCCTAAACAATATCGTTGAAGAAACTTATTATGTTACAGCTATGGCAAAGCGATCAGAACAGATCACATTTTCCAGAGAGGCAAAGCTATGTGGTTTATTGCAACAAGGCTACAAAAAAGTTTTTGTGGCACCGTATGACTAAGAAATTTATTGAGGTATGGCTATCCCATCTGGGGTGTAAACATCTGGGTGGCCACTAGATGGGCTGCAAAGAGTTAGAGCTTTCTGTGTTTCTGCTGCCACCTTATGGTCATCTGAATTTTGCCAGCCTCGAGCTGGAAATCCCACCTTAACAGTGACCATTGCTTTTTAAAGGATGCACACTTTTGAAAGATACATTGGCGCATATCTGTAATATGCTTCACTTGCTTAGCCAGTAATCCAGTTTACTTATCAGTGTTTTGGGCTGCACTTGGCCACACAAACTGGATCAGTGATCATCACATGGAGAGTGTAGCATCCTTGACTCCTTTTCTTAGAAAGTGCCTAATGACACTTTCTTTTCACTCTTGCTCATGACATCAGGAGTCCCTCACCCATGGCTAGGCAGGCCAAAGGAGGCATGGTTTGGCCACTGCAGCCAATCAGTGTGAGAGGTTTATACCATGTGGCTCAGCTTTGGCAGGGAGTTCTTGTGACGGAGTGGCTTGCTTTTCCAGCCACTCTTCCTCCCTGGGTCTTTTTTCTTGGATGACTAAATAGGAAAAATGGATTGAATGACTAGGTTTAGATTTTCCTACAGCCCGACTGACTGAGTGGAGTTAATTTAACTCTTTGGATGACTAGGTATATTGAGGGTTACAGTTAAAACCCTGCAGCTTATTGACTGGGGCAGTTGGCTCCCCTGTGGGTATTCCCACAACACGCTGTCATCCACTTTGACCCAGCTGGGTATTCTGTGAGAATAGGACCAATTGGGACATACACCAAATCAATGGTGACTGGAAATAGAAGACTGGGATAGGTGCTCTCCAACCTTCTGCAATAATGTTTCCAACATGAAGACCTTCAACATTTCTAAGATTCAGAATCTTTGTTTAATGCAAACATCCAGCAATCATTGTGTATACAAGAGTGAAGCAACATGGTGCCCAAGGGACTTGCCAGTCTCTTGATTAGAGAGAGAGAAAAAGGTGTTTTAATTTAAATCATTAAAAGGCATGTTGCTAGTGTCAGCCTCTGGCACCTCCTTTATTTCCAGGAATGCCAGAGATATTCCCAGAAAATACAAATGGTAGTTTGTTTTGGAATTTTGTTTGGAAATGTACCTGTTTGTCCAAAGGGAAAGAAAAGAAAAAGTCAGATGTACTGGAGTGGTAGAAAACATCTTAGATGGCAGTTAATGTACGTAGAGGGCATAGGGAGTAGTCTTGAAGGACAGGAGGAAGAGCTGCTACCAAAGCAACAGTTGGATAAAAGGAAGGGGAATGAGCGGGTCCAAGAAAGTAACATGAGAAAACATCTCAGACGAACCCCTCCCTAGTTCATATGAAGATAAAGTGAGGGAGGAGGGAAGCATATTCAGACTTGCAAGATTGTGTTATTACAGCTGTTCAAGTAAAAGTAGTCCTAACACAGAGAGTAGCCTTTGTAATCAAAATTCTTAATAAAATTATATTTAAAAACAAAAACAGCAGAGAGAGTGAGAGTAGCCTCATTAGTTTGCCTTTTGATAACTGGTGTGTTATGACTGGCCATGCTCACCATTGCAGGCCCTCTTGAATAGAAAGGCCTCCCCGTGTCCATGACGTTGTGAGAGCACTCACAATATGTTGCCATGTCTCTCTAGAGGCCCTCAAAGATAATCTACCTGTGTGTTAAAATTTAACCAGAAGAACTTCATCATAGGCAAACTCTTTTATCACAAATCCAGTCCCAATGTGGGGACTTGTCATGCCAACATCTTACAAGATTGTAACTATGGTTAACATCCATTTGCACATATTTGTTTCCCCTTAAATCTCTCTGTATTTGGGGATAAGCCAAAAGCTATTGTTATAAACTGTGGAAACATGGTAAAGCATTGTGCGTCTTGAGGAAGTGTGAATGCAATATCCAGTTTTTTTTTTTTTTTTACACAACAGGTAATTAAACTTTACAGTTTGCTACCACAAGATGTGGTACTGGCTACCAACTTGGCTGGCTTCCAAAAAGGGTTGGACCAATTCATGAAAGTCATGGCAATCAATGGCTGCTAGCTTTGATGGTTGTGGGACTAGCTCTGAAGGCCATCTGCTGGGACACTAGTGGGCTTCCTTGTGCAGTTGGTTGGCCACTGTGAGAACAGACTGCTGAACTAGATGGGCCAGGGGTCCAGTCCAGCAGGACACTGCTTATGTTCTTATGTTATTAACACCATGTAATGGAAAGATATTTTAAGACATTAATCATATATTACAATACCTCATCAAGTAGGCCTTTTCATGACAAGAGAGGGTGAGAATTAAATGGCATGGCCTGCTGAACAATTACAAAGTAGATATTTCCTAAGGAGAGATTTCAAATGAAGGATTGCCGGCTTTCTTAAACCCAGCTCAACTTTCCCTAGCTTTCTTTGGCGCTTTCTAGATGTGCTAAACTACATTTCCTATCAGTCCAGCCAGTGTACTACTGGATCAGGATGATGGGAGATGTAGTCCATCTTATCTGAAGGCTGTTAGGTTAGAGGAGGTTGACCTAATTGTGTGGGTTGCATCAGATTACTCTTAAAGAGCACAACATTTCTCAACTTGCTTCACTAGGGTAACATAAAGCATGTTTCACTCTATGGCTATTTAATATGTGTAAGTTGGGCATGATGGGAGATAGAATTCCATGCATTTAAGGGTGCCAGGTTAAAGAAGGCTGATCTAACTCAATGGGCTGTTCTTTCAGAAAAGTAATGTTTTCCTTTTCAGGCTGGGTTAAAGAAAGTTATCCATGAGTGACAAAAGACTAAATGGACAGGGAGGATTAACCCCCCCCTTAACCCC